ATTAACATATAAAATATAATATAATAAAATTTGATGGTTTTAAAATTAATGAAAATGATCACGATTCCTCCTACAAAGAGAGAATGATAATCATTTAAATTTTAAAATGATTTAAAAATTCATAACTAGTTTTTATGTTAACTAGTGTAACAAAATTTGCATAATAGATTTGTAATTGTTACTATCTGTTCGTGAATTATATTATAACTTAAGTGATATATATAAAAATAAACATACCATGAAAAAGATTTTATGTGTTAACAAAATATTGGACATAAAACTTCATGACCACTTTTTGGAGGCAAAGATAAACTTATAACTATCATATTTCATTTTTAAGGTTTTGATAACCCAAATATTCATTTAATGTAGTCACCTGAATTTTGATATTATAAATATATAAAAAACTACTGACTACTATTATTCAATGTCTATCGTTTCACAAGTCTCTTTCAACTCCAATATTCTGTTATAGAATATTTTTTATGTTGATTTCTTATACTTGATAAGAGTGTCAACTTTATTTTTTAAACGGTAACATACATATTTAACTAGCTTAAAAATAGAAAATGATGTAATTAAAAAAATGACTGGTCGATAGTGACTTTTTTACCAGTATTTTATAAGTTATTAACAATTTAAGCATTGTCCGGTAGCAAGGCGTATTATATTATATAAATAATAATAATTTTGATAATTATTTTTGCTTATTTAAGTAAAATAAAGCAATTGTAAATATTTACAATACATTTTTGGCAACTATTTACTAGTTGACTGAATTAAATTGTGAGATAGTAATTATTTTACAAAATTTGTGTCATGTCGCAATGGATTAATTTTTTTTGGTGAAAAATAAAATGACTAGTAACCTCTAAAGATTTTTGTCATCAATCACTTTGTATAAAAGTGTATTGGATTTTAGTCTACAAATTTATCATCTTCACTGTCTCTAAGAAAATGGTTTAGTGGTTAAATGTTTCTTTTTCTATAAACGGACTCTGTGAATTAATGATTGAGTCAAAGTGTATATGTTACCAAAATTGATATAGAACTTACATGTGAGAATGAATGAATTACATTTCTTGAAATAATATGGCAACACTATCATTTGGTATACATTTTATGAGCTTATAAAATGTATACCAAAAGTCGTTGAATCAGGTTCGATTTTATAGGTATTATGGCTTACCCAAACATTCATTGAATTCATTAGATGTTGGCATATTAGAATATTTAGTAGACTTTTTATTCATTAACGTTATTAAGTTACTAAATGAAATACTATAAAAATTATCTCTAGGATCATTTTTTCCTTCAGTGCATTTCATTATTAGCTATAATTTATGAAATTATGACTATACATTATAATAATTGTATAATTGTGAATAGACAATATCATTAAGATAATATTTTTTAATAAACTATAAAAAAGGTAGCGGTTTTATGAACTCTGATATTTTAAATTTAATCGAATTTGAAACGAAAAATTCAAATATTTAATCGGACCAAACATTAATTTTTACCAATATCTGGCAAAACATTTTTTTATATAATTGTTTAACAAATTCAGTGCGATATTTGATTATACTAGTTCGATTTTCGAACCAAAAAAAAAGGTAAAATTTTTTTTCCAATTTTTTAATTTAAAGTTTGATTACAAAATTGATCACTTCGAACATAAATTTAAAAAAGTGAATAATAAATTATTGTTGAAACTTTGAGATAATACAGAAACATTTATAAATAAAGTACTTTTACAGTAAAAATTTCCTTTTACTAACATTATAATATTGTATATTCACTATCTTAAGTTTAACTGTATTATTATTATATATTTCATCTGATATTTGTTTGCTGAAAAATTTGTAGAATAAAAGCATGAAATATAAAGTACTAAACTGTTAAGTTTAGTGGTAATAAGTGTCTTAAGTGAGGATACTTCACATTTGTATAAAGTTTAAAACTTGAAGTTCCTTTTATTCATTTTAAATAACATTTCTATACATTTATACTGTCACGATTACATCAAATTCCTTTTTTAGACTGTATTAAATCACAAAGTCCATAAATGTAATTAAGGCAATTGAAATATGAAATATTATTAATAGTATAAGAACAAAAGTCAGTCCAATAATTTTTTTTATTGGAGGTGAGTAAGTTTTACATAGTATATACAACACGTTATGTTATATTAATTGACTTATGTCATCCCTTTTTATTAAAAAATTAATATCTATCTTATTCATTAAATGATGAGCAAAGCAAAAATAATATTATAAAATGTTATTGACTGATCAATTGTGTTATCCCTCCCCCCTCTGATGATGCACATTTAATTTTATACAATGATCTAACTATAATTTAAATCTAGACCAAAGTTAATTATATGTTTTCACGCACTATTTGTTAAAACAGAGCAATGGTTCAATATAATAAAATAAAATTTTAAGTAATTATTATAATTACTATTTTAAATCAATTTTACTGGATAATATACACGTATCAAATAGTTTTTTATCTTATCGAATAAGCCATGATAAATACAGAAAGTTCAAAAAGAAAGGAAATTGGTCAATTGTTATGAACAATGAGAACAATAAGAACCTTTTTCCTTACTTACGGAACACCATACATGGCGATTCATTTATCATGAATCACTTAATGGCCGTACTTTCCATCTCGCCTTGGTATAAACATGTCAATTTTTGAAATACGTCCGAAATAATGTTCGAATCTATTAAATAAGCTAAGAGCAATTATTTGATATTATCAATATCAAATTTTTGTACTTTTTAATTAAATATTTTTAGTATTTTTACTATATTTTTAATACTAAGTTATAATTTTCTAATTTTATATTCTCTTAGTTTTTATTTATACTTTAAACCACCTCTCTACTTACAAGTTTCAGTTTATATCTTATACTTGATTATGGTCTTATTTGTTGAGCTTCACATCTCTGATTCTAAATAGCTGTTATTCACCTGAAGTTGGTTAAGAATTTAGTTCTCAACAATTATAACGTGTGTTCATTGACATAATTACTGACGCCATATCCTGATATTTCTTTGTCTACATGTGCTTAATTATTTCATTGAATTCATACGCTATCTATATATTTTACTAGATACCTTACATGTGTTTTCATATATTTGACTCCTTTATCATACCTGTAATCAACTTTTAAATAGGAGAGGCAGATCATTTGTCTGTTCAGGCTGTAATAATCTTTCGCGTGAATCTTGACAATACGTTTAATTCGCGTTTTTTGAATCTTTGGTTGTGTTCACTATACATTAATTCATTTACTCCTCGTATAGCTAACTAACTGCAGTAATATGGCTGTCTCTTTCAATGGTAATATTATGATGGCTATAACAGAACTCAAACTTGCTCAATCTGACATATTAACATCTAATAAAAAAGGCATTGAATTGCAATACGCTCAATTTTATCTAGAATGTATGTAAGTTTAGTTTAATTTCCTTTTCCCAATCAAGAAACTCCATATACAATTCTTATATCCTTAGTAGTTGTCTACCACAAGGGGATTCCTAGATTAAGAATCTTAGTATTTATTATTCAAGCACTCTCTCTTCGGTCATTGGCAGAGCGTTAAAGGTATTCGGTTTTACAACATAACACAAAATTCTTATGCCCAATAAATTCCGTCCGTTTTTTGTCTTTTGCCCGGGTGAGATTATTACTTGAATATTATGTTATTGTATGGCACCTTTATCATACTTAGGATTAATTGCGTCTTTATAGTTTCCAAAATAAATTTTTGACTTTATACTCAACTTCCTTCACCTTATCACGATTATTCCGATATCAGTGGTATCCTTAATATTCCTTCTTTAACGTCCCGCTAGTATGATGCTGATTCGCAGTTTATTAGTAACACACTCAATAATTCCATTGACGCTCTTGACCTCCTCTCTCGTATCTTCTTCTTCTTCCTCGCCTTAATCCCAACTACTTGGGGTCGGCCACCCTTATCCTAAACTTCCACTTGATATAATCTCCCACATCCTCTACGCTCACATCAGCTGTCCTCATATCGCATTCAATAACATCTCTCTATCTCTTTTTTGGTCTTCCTCTACCTCTTCTTCCTTCAACATTCATTTCTACAACTGTTCTTACGGCTTCCGATTCTTCTCTTCTCATAACATGACCAAACCATCTAAGTTTATTTTCTCTCATCTTATCCACGATTGACGCTACACCTATACTCCCTCTTATATGCTCATTTCTTATCCTTTTATTGTATAAGACACTAGACGCTTCTTTCCACTTCAACCAACTTCTGACCTCCTCTCTCATATATTGTACAAAATATCCTTGCATAACATTAGAATTAATGTTTTTTTTTATAATCCAACATATTCAATTTTTTATTACCACAACCACCATATGAATATTGGGTGAATATAATATGTCGAGGTTTGATAACTATTTTTACCCTTGTTCGTGTTCATTAATTATTTATTTAAAACATATTAGTTATACTTTATAATAAATTTATATTCTTTCGCTATGCTATTTTAATATATTTCTTTATTATAATTATTTCTATGATAATTGTTAATTTTTATTACAAATAGTTTATTTATGTGGTCTCCAATATTTTTCTATTTATAACAGCTGTTTGGTTTTTATAGTTTAAAATAAAATTAATTATATATGTTGCCATTTGAAAAATAAACTTGACTCCCTTAAAAGTATAAGGGATGAACAAAATAATAATTCATAATTGGATAAATTGAGAAAAATACGTATCTAATAGAGCCAAATAAAAAATGCTCAATATTATTTTTATTTTTTTGATTAAGTGGTTTAAGATAAATGGAATCATCCCATGTATAAATTTAAGGAAAAATAAAAAAAAATTCTATTATTCACATTTAATAGTGTTTCATAATTTTTACGTTTTTTTTTGTGTACTAATAATTTACGTTATACTTAAAAATATTAAAAGAAAAATTAATTGTCAACAGATCGAGTCCACAAAATGGAGGCGGACAAGATCCGGTGGGTAGCAAGCAATACAATTATTATTATTTTTATTTACTTATCTATTATGGGTGTAAATGGTTCGGATACTTGGCAAAAACCCGGTTGCCATAAAGTAGGTGAGTAAAGTAAATTTTTTAATTATTACAGTTATCTATTATTATACTAATCTAAAAATACAAAAGTGTTATGTCCTTTTAAAATGTAGTATAAATTTAATGAATATATATATATATATATATATATATATATTCATANTTTTAAAATGTAGTATAAATTTAATGAATATATATATATATATATATATATATATATTCAAAGAAATATGATCATTTTTAGAAAATATTTAATATCTGTAAAGTGGTTCGAAGAAAATGTTTTTCACATTAAATTCATCATATACTTCTTCAATTAATAAAATATATCATTACAGTAATTTAAATATTGATTTATTCGCAGGCTATAAAACTCAGTAAGGGCACTCTATGACATTTTAGATAATTTATAAGATGTTAATTTTTGGTTTGTTTAGCTTTTATAATAATATTATTATGTTAATAAGTTAAAATGATAAAATAAATACATTAATTATAATTATTACATTATTTCAATGATAGGTTTTATTTTTGTTAGTATAAAATTTAAATAACGATTAAAAAAACAATTAATAATGTAATGATTTTTCTTTTAAAATACTTTTTACAATAAAATAATCTACATAGTTTAGCTCAATTGATTCGAACCTCGGCTTCAGTTATTTGATGTATTGCATGATATATATCTTATATAAATTGATTTTTATCTGACAATAATACAAAAGATGGACTCTCTATTATTGTCAGTTGTTCGTATTATAAAAATTACGACAATTAATTTTTTTAATTTTTTTTATAGGCCATACAAGAAAAATAAGTATTCCAAATTGTGTGGAGTTTCGTATAACGACTAATGCATGTAGAGGCTATTGTGAATCATGGGCAGTTCCTTCACCAACTGATACACTTATTATAAATCCTCACCAGAGTATTACATCAGTGGGACAATGTTGTAACATTATGGATACTGAAGATGTGAGTAGTTTACTTGAGTTCATTATTATTTTTAGATAATATTCTAAAATATTAAAAGAAAATTGGTGTAAATGTAAATAAAATTACTTGAAGAAATTGTGGCATTATTTAAAATATATATTATTTATTTGGACTGGAACTATCTATATTTCATAGAACTGGTATTAAAGCTATGTTTGATAAGATGTTATTTTCTACCCTCTTGTTCTTAGATTGGTTATTTTATTTCCAAAAAAATTAGATAATTGTTATATTATCACTGAAAATTTTGTTTTGATCTATTCAAATAGTTAAAAAAGGTCTTTTTCTTGTACAAAAAAAAAAAAACTAATAAACTAATAATAATAGTAAAAAACAGTACACAGGAAATGCGTATAAGTAAAAACAAAAATCTACTCAATTATACTCGACATAACAATTGAATATAACGATAAAAAAAATAATCAACAACACTTATCATACTCTTCCATATAATTGAATTGGCAGCATCTTTCACTTTTTACATACGCACGCCAGAAAGTACATCAAGAAAATTTATTCCGGTATTATTTAATTTCAATTAAATAATATAGTATTAATTACTTTTTAAATGAATTCCTTATACTTTGTAATAAATAGAATTAGAATTAGCGTTACCAACGTATTAAAGTGTTACGGAAAAAAATTTGGTTCGTTTGACGTATAACATTGTTTTTTTCAAACGTATACTAGATTTAGTATACTTTTGGTACTTTTTGTATGAAAGTAAAGCTCTATATAACTGTTAAGTGTAACTGTTTTGTATATAACTGAAATTATTTCTATTGTCTTATAAAGTAATAAAAAGTGTATGTTAATAATTAGCTTTAAAAAAAAGTTTGTCGTTTTTCAGGTTAACTATTATTATTTTTACGGGTATTGTTCTATTGAAGAATTATTTTTATAATACTTCTAGTTTCATTAAAACTATACTTTATACTCCTAATTATACTTTCAAAATTTCCAGATTTAAAATATATTCATTTATATTAATTAAAAATTATTTATTAAAATAATTTTTGCCATTTTAATTGAGATTTTATGTTCTGATAAAATAGCACAAGTTTTGTAGTATTAACTTTTAAATTATTAGATTTTCATTTAATTTAAAATACTTTTTCTCTTAAGTGCGTCTGTAGAACTTTATTTTGTAATGAGGTTTTTTTATGGTATTGGTGGTGATTATTACAGTGAGGTTTCATTTTAATATAAAATGATAATTTTTATAAGTATAAGTTGAAGAATTTTGATGGATTTATACGATTTAATTTTCAATAGATTACACATATTTTGACTAACGAATATTGTTATTTGTCAGGTGGAAGTGAACGTGTTATGTTTGAATGGCGTCAGAAAGTTGGTGTTCAAATCAGCCATCAGCTGTTCTTGTTATCATTGTAAGAAAGAATGATATCCGTGAATTGCGTTAATCTTGAATAAAATTCATGCTTCAAGACACTTACATATATATATTTTTTCACATAGAATTTTCTAACAACGAAAATTGATGAATAAAATATAATTTAGTTACCTGTACTAATGTTACATTCAGTTGTCTGTATTAACATTAATGTAATTTTATTGCATACTCTTTTTCTTCACAATACCTGAATTATAGTATTTAAAATTATCTATTTATATTATTTTATTGTTGTTTTCATTTTAAAACATCTAAATGATCTACATACTTAATATATTTACTGTGTATATTTATGAACAATATATTTTTAAACATATATTATTAAAGATTAATTTTTATTTGTTAACTCACACAATTGAACATTGACGGATTTTGAATACATTTTTTTGGGGTTCAACTTAATTTTTTTTTTTTTCTAAAAGTATCTATTCAACAACTTAGAAAAATTGAGTGTTATTGTAAATATTATGAAGGCTGCACAGACTCCTCTTTTTATATATGTTTATGTAAGTGCAGAAACTTCAATGATTTATACTTTAGGAGCTAATTTAGTAATAGTCTACACTGGTTAAAAAAAAAAAATTCTTAGTGAACGGAAGTATGTATTAAACTAGATATTTTTATTATAAAGAACATCATAAGCAACTTTAGATGATCGTTCATAATTTTGGAATTTGGCTACTTAAAAGTGTATTAAAATACATCATAATAAAATATAAAAAAAATAACTTTTTTATATTTTTTGTTATACGTTTTTAAAATTATAATGAATTATAATTTTAATATTCATGTTTATGTGCGTGTAAATGAGCTGAAAATATAGTTCGTGAGAATTTCAACGACAATAATTATCAAGAGTATGTGTTAGACACAAATACTTCGTAGTAAGTAAAATAACTTTTTAACAGGATAAAACAGATGTAAAACCAAAAGAATTATTTTTTGAAATTAAAAGGAAAAAAATTTCTGAATCATTTGCTTAAGAATACAAATATTTAAGTGCTGGCTAATTATAATATCATTGGGAACTATTTATTTATTTATATTATCTATCGGTTAACCACATATATTTAAATTCAGAGGTAGTAACTATTCATTTGCCGAGTAAACGATTATATCATTGCTGTGGGATAATTATCGGGAGAATAATTAATTTTAATTGATTTATCAATTTTTTAGTTCATTCTTCCTAAGCAAACTCCCACACTATTTATTTAATCATGCTACGATTATTTTTCATTATTAATAATATACGAATAATATTAAAGTTATTATAAATTCTGCATCGTTAATAAAAAGTATAAATAAATTTAAAAAATGATTGTTTCTGTTAATATTTTGAAAACTATAAAAATTAGTTCAATATATAATTTGAAAAAATTAATTTTATATTATTATTACTTACGCCAAAAAGAAATTTGTCATAAAACTAGAAATGAAACACGTGTGTTTATTTTAAAACTGGTACAATGATATTTGATTAAATATACATTACTTTTATTCAAATCAAATGACGTCAATCTGTGATTACGGTCTATTTTTAAAAATGATTGAAGATGGACGTGCACAACACGTTATTGTATGATATGTCGACATTCTACAAATATTTTACAATAAAATCAGGAAGTTATTTCATTAAAAACAATATATTTTATATGGTAAGCCTACACTAATACTATTAGCTCTTACGTGTAAAAATAAGTCCAGAGCTATTTAGTAAAAGAGAATCGTTTGGCCAATTAACAAAAGCAATAAACTTTAACAAGAATGATAGTGTAATCATATTAGTTAAATAGGCAAAGGTCCAACAGAAATAAAAACCATTCCGACATTAAAAACTTTTTTGTTTAGATGTACTTTTCCCATGATTAGTCCTCTATTTATAAATTGTAATTGATAAAAGTTATCTTTTATATACTATATTATCTTATTAAAAAATTATGCAATTGAGCGATTTTATAAACGCATGCTGAACTAAATTAAGTGTAGTATCAAATTGTTTAATAATTGATAAAAGTTTTTTTTTAAAAGATGAGAGATCTTGAAAGATGAAAGATAAGAGAAAATATTAAAGAACAGCGCCAACAGAACTTATTCATTTGATTTTGTCCTATTTTGAAGAATATTTTCACAACAGAGTTTTTTAAACAAAAAACTTAAATAATACAGCTGGGACTCGGCATAAAGGGGATTATTATAGATTGAAATGTGCCAGTGATTAAAATCACTATCATAAAATACTTCAATGAGATTGTGCTTAATGCAAGTATTATTATTTAAATTTTTTTTTTTGAAAGTGGTGACCCCTAAAGCTTCCCATTAATAAATGTATTGGCTTAACACTAAAATCTGCAAAACCCTTTTTTTATTGGAAGGTTTTTAAAGTTAAGTTGAAAAGTTTTTATTTTAAAACACTCTATGAGCAGATAAAGGATCGAATTGTCAAAATTATGCGTCATAAATGGACATCTTTGCGGTGCTGTCGAAAAATGTCAATTTTGATTTAGTTATTTTCCAAAAAGTTAATGCAATTTTAATAAAAAAATATAATAAAATTTTATGAATTGATATATAGTAATTTTTTGGGATATCCCTTCTTTAAGAAAATTTAGATCAATTTTGTTAATCAGTTTCGAATTATTAATTATCAACTTAAATTATTATTCCTACTTCATGAAAATTGTTTTTGCTGATGTTAATGAAATATATTTAAACAATTATTATAAAACTCATAATATATATTAAATATTTTCTATATCTCGAGGAAAAATATATAAACGTTTCACTTATTATTAATGATGATTGTTTATAAATTGCTGTAGTTGACACACAATAAAAGTTATATTAAAGAATAATTTACAAAATGATTGAAAACTTTGTACAATTTTATGACGTTATTATTTGTTGTCTGCAGTTGATTGGCATAAAATATTTCAAACGGAAATTATTAATACTGGTATTAAAAATTGTACATAAGTAACAAAGTAAACATTATAATTAATAATAACGCAAAGAAATATCATTGTTCAATTGAAAAAATAAAAAAAAAGAGAGAAGATGACATATTTTTATATTAAGTGAAAAATGTATTATTTTTAAATGATTTTAATTTCTTAATTTATAAAATAAGATTTGCTAGTACATTAATAGTAATTTAACTCATTTTCAAGGTTTTATTAAGTTAACACATAATACATTTCTTAATAAATAAAACATCTACAGGACACAAAAGTTTAAAATAACTGGAAGGGCAATTAGCAACTGTCATTTTACTTATTAAATAGGTTGGTAGGGTCTTCCTAACTACCGAATGTAATTGTAAGTCAATAACTTCTATATCAGTTTATCAGTGACATTTTCTAAGAACTTTGAATAGTAGTTTATTATAAGTAGCGTGATAAATTGTAAGTCATCATTATAGGTTTTGCTAGCTTTCAAATTATATTAAGCTTATATAATTTATGAAAGTTATTGCTCAATATAGTTTATTAGACCAATTTATAAGTTAATTGTTGAAAGTTTTTGTTTGTTTATATATTCGATAGAATGTATTTCCGTTTTAAAGGAAATAAACTAATATGAGTTAAGTATCAATGTTTCTGGTTAATGGTGATTTAAAATGTATTTAAAATTATATTAATTGAATTTCTAGCTAAAATACTCAATTATTATAATTTTCACTTAAATAATATTTTTTTCAATAATAAAACCCATTAAATTAGAGTAGTAAATATTACCGCTGAAGTGAATTCATAAAAAAAGATTGATTCAGAACTAAATATATCACAAGAATTTCACACGGGTACACGTCTTCTTGAAGTAACCATATTTTCACTCTTGTACTTCTAATAGGGTATTTATAAATTTTTGGATATTCTAGTACATTCAATTAGAAGCTATTGAATTTTTCCAGACATTTACTCGTACTGTAGTTTTCTCATTTCCTTAGTTCTACTATTAGTTTTGATTAAGATATAATTTTATATTGAAATTAATATGTTTAAGTTATTGTATGAGTGTTTTATTAAGGTACTTAAATATTTTGATTATAATTAAGTATAAAACATATCAATTAAATAATCGATGACGAGAATGTCTTTCTTTAATTTAAAAAAAGACCTTTTTAAATACGATTTGTATTTTTATCTATTTCCTTTAAAGGAAATAAAATAAAATAATTTATGTATTTTTATCTCTGAGAAATTCGACGACTTCATAATGAACATTTTATAAAGCAAGCTTATTGAATAAATTTCCCTAATATACAAATAAAATGCTTGAAAAATTCGATTACATTCTCTACATATATTTCATTCTATTAGATTTTATTATAATCCAAGTCGTATAACACACTTTTAGTAGAACTTTTAACATGTTAGCAGATTTGATGATTATTTTGTAAAGTTTATCACATAATTGATTCTTGGTATCGTTACAATCATGATAATTAGTTAATTCCTAAAATTGTATAAAGCTTTAGAATACCTCAAAAAAGAAACATTTTAAAACTATTTCAACGCTTGAGAATTAAAAAAAAATAATCTGCATTAACAGAAATAACTATTACTATAGATGATAGATTTCCGAAATTGCTCTCCAATTAGGAAATAAATGGTTCCATTTACCTAAGCCACCAAACTTCAAAATCAACTTTGCTCGTAAGATAAGGAAACCTAAATAGAATAGAATTATACAAGATAATTAGCAGTCAGTAACAAAAAAACGATCTAAAAAAATTTTATTTTAACTTTCATACAAAAGGAACGAATAAAATGTTTAAAAAATCATACAAATTATGTCAAAAAAACTATAAGTGTGATGAATAAATTTTTATAGGTGTATATCAAAATGTTGGATCATCTAAACAGCAGTTACACAATTATTTAAGTAGTGCAATATTTAATCTATGATTTATAATAAGATAAAATTTGCTTAGAGGTAAAAAACAAATTCTTCACGATTAATTTATGTAGTTGCATAATGAAGTTATTGAAGCAGTAGATTGCAATACATGCTGAGACTATTGGACAGGGTTGAAATTTTTATTCATTTGATTCCTTTTGCATTGCACGTATGGTGCGAGGTACATTAAAAACAAGGCACGTTTAATGGAAAAAATAATTAACAGTTCATGAATAATTCTCTTATCCGTCACGCAACGTACGTTTCCCTATGGAACACACAATTTACTCTTATTCTACACCTATAATATACATCATGTGTTCTAAATATATAAAAATTATAATAATAAGTATAATATTAAGATATGATTATTTTATCTGACCAATAGAATACATTTTATTTATAAACAAATATGATGTGTTATTTGAGATGATAAAATAATTTAATTACAATTTCAACAAAAATATTCTTTAATATGTATATCTTAAATGGCTTATTAACTATTTTTTTTTTAATTACATTAAATAATACTTTGAATAGTACGTACCAACTGTTTGTACGCTTAACGCAGAAATTATATTATTAATTATTTGATACCTTTTAATAATATTTGACGACAAAATGTCACAAGTGATGTTTATGCTAAATGGGGGTATGTAGTATGATTAATCCTATTCTAATTAATATAAATAATCAATACAATAATGTTTGCTCTAGGGTTTTTAAATATTTAATATTGCTAGGTAATAGTAAAAAAAATAATATATATATACATACGGTAAAATATAACATAAGCCCGTTTTTCTGGTATCAGATTTTGGATATAAGCTACAGAATTATTTGAGATTAAAAAATATAAAATACATTATTAAACTTGTGTAAACTGACAAAATGTTATAATATTAGTGATAACAACACATGGGGTATATAATGGGGGTTTTTCCGGTAGGCGTGTCAGTATGTGTTTAGCGTTGATAATGATAACATTGTTCCCGAAATAGCTATCTGCGTTGTTTTAGTATTTTTTTTGTGGCTTTTTTAATAAAATATTTTTAATTTTAAATCATTTGATTTAATTTTGGTATTTTTTATTATTTTAGGGTTTTTTTAATATCTATTTTAATGTAAAATATTTTATGTTATCTAACTTAGAATTTTCGTAATTTTTTTTTTATTAATAGCTATTAGACGAAAACAGTAAAATACACTAAGTACTCATAGCACCCTCACCTATATTTACCTAAAAAAACCAATAAAAGGTAAACGATACTGGTATATGAGCAAATTTATATGGGTACTCTGTATAGCATTCAGAACACTTATGATTATTATGATATCGAGTTTTGACTTATTAAAAATTTGGAGTTTTTTATAAAATATTTATAATAAATCGTAACGGATATTTTTTAAATTTAATTTCTCAGACATAGTTAAATTAAGAAGAAAAAAAAATTATAGACATGTATTTTTTGTAAAAGTCCATGGCAATTTAAATCTCATGATTTTGAAAATGTCGACTATTTTATTAATTATAGTAAAAATCAAAACCATTAAAAATTTCGAATTTTGACATAACATTAAGTAAAAATGTATAATATTTCTGTTATAGCGGTCATTATGAATCTTAATTTTTTTTCACATTTATAACGATTATTACAACTAAAAGTGACACAATAAACAATAACATAGTAGTTTTTAAACTTCATAAAATTTTTTTATTGATATAAGAAATAATTACAAAATAAATATAAATAAAAATCAAGTTATAAAAAACAGCTCAGATATACCCTTTTTAAAAATGCTGTTAAACTCAACTTTAAAAGTCCATGTCAAAGGTGAAACTTAATAGAATGATTTCAAAATTTCCATAAACTATCAACATGACACTATAGATTAAATAGAGATAATAAAAATAATAATATATAGAGTGATTTGTGTATCATGAACCACTTAATTAAATGAAAAACAAAAATAATATTAATGATTTTTTTATTGGTTTATTTTAGTTCAATTAAATTAATTTTTTAAATTTCAACACACTAAATTAATTAGCATATTAATTAGATAGTAGTCTAATTAAGAAAATGACTGTTCGATAACAACTTTTGGACCAGTACTTCGGAAGTAAAGATTGAAGATGGAGAGTGAGTGCTGCTACTTTTATAACTAGACATTTCCTGCTCTTACTCTTCCTATATATAAATATGTCATTACAACTTTTGGATCAGTATTTTAGATGTTGATGACAAATTTAAATATACATATTTATATTTAGATAAGAGGAAGAGGCTGGAAAATGTCAAGTTATAAAAAGAAGCACCCACTCTCCACCAGCAGTCATTGCTTAAAATTGTTAATAACTTCTGAAATACTAGTCCAAAAGTTGTTACCCATTATTTTCTTAAGTAAACTATTATCTAATAAATAAGCTATTTAATTAGAGGTGTTGCCATTTATGAAATTAAAGTAAACAGTCTTTTAAGGTTTAAGGGATGAACATAAAAATTTTTATTATGATTGAACAATTGAGAAAAACATTTAACTAAAAGAAACAAATAAATAAGTTATTAATATTATTTTTATTCTCCGAATAATACAGTGGTTCATCATAGATGAATTACTGTGTAAATATTTTTCTAATTATACCATTTTTCTGAAAACTGTTGTTTTACAAATACTCAAATTGTGGCTAAAATATTGGAGGCAATGAAAAACTAAAGACATTTTTTAAGAACTTGGGAAATCATATGTACTAGTCTCCGATTTTAATCAATTAGCTACTGATAGTTGAATTTTTTTGCACGAAATTTAATTTCGTAGTTTTCTGGCTTGTGAGATTCAAGTGTAAACGTTTTTATGATACATTTATATTTATTCAGTGGGTGAAATGTCAATTTTTCAGTGTCAACTATTAAAAACAGTGACTATAAAGGTTGTTGATTGAATTTGACAACTATTTATAAAAAAGATCGACAGTATCTATGCCGATCATTTTAGAACATCCAATAAGTTCTGATTAAAAATTATTAATTTTTTTTTTATTGTAACAATTATAACTTATGGCTGCATTACGAAAATGGACGTTTGTCACTATTATGGTAAGTAAAATCTAAAATGTACTACATACAATATAAATTATCAACACATTTATTTATGTAAGTAAAATAAATGATTTTGAGCATAATTCGTGTTTGATGGAGATTATTTTATAGTTATCAATTTTTAATTGTATAGTATTTACATTTTTTTTTCTAGGTAGTAATAAAGATGGAATATTTTAATTTACATCTAATAATACTTTTAACTAATCATTTGTGAAATTATTTTTTTAAACAATTAAATTAATTTATAAATAATTATTAATAACAAATTTCATTTTCAGAACAAAACTATAAAACAATATTTTCTTAATTTGAATTTTAAAATAACAATATACTTTTCTAAATGGTTTTTACTTGTGCCTATAACATCCTAGTAATATTACTAGATANGTTGACTTTTCTAAATGGTTTTTACTTGTGCCTATAACATCCTAGTAATATTACTAGATAATTATTGTAGTATTTAGTGTTTAGTATTCAGAAGATATTTTAAAATATTACAAAATATTCTCAGGATATAAGAATTGTAGTGAAAGAATTTTCTGATAACAACACCATAATATTTTAACGCAAATTTTAAGTACAAACCATCTAAAAATATTATATCAAGACTAAAATTCTTAAAATATAATGAGAGTTTTCAAATGTTATCTGAGTTATTAAAGATTTTTATGTTCATTTAACCAAAACAATTTGTTAATTTTCTAGAAATATTGATTCTCTTTTAAATTTTATCAAGTTGTTGGGTGATACTATACAATATAGACAATGTACATAATTGTCTTTAAAAAACGTAAAGTTTAGTAACATCCTATGTTATTATAAATAATTCCAAAAAGTAATTACTAGCTGATAATTCAAGAAGTATATGTAACTAAAAAAAATCAAAAAAATTTTTCCAATATTGTATTTATTTTGTGAGTGATCAAGCGGTTTATGATAATCTGATCATTCTGTATATATAATAATTATTTAAATCGTGCTTTTTGAATTTAAAAAAATATTGCTTCTTAGTTATAGTTATATAACTCACCGAGGTTTATTAATTTTCAGCTATTCATATCACTAGTTTGTTACATTGATTCAAGTACAATAGAAAAACGTTGTAGCAGTGGTTACGGTGGATGTTGTGGCTGTGGTGAATATGGACGAGGCAGTAATTGTGATGGCTATGGAGGAGAATGTAATTGCGGTGGATACGGAGGAGGTAGTAATTGTGGAGGCTATGGGGGAGGAAGTAATTGCGGTGGATACGGAGGTGGTAGTAATTGTGGAGGATATGGGGGAGGAAGTAATTGCGGTGGATATAGCGCTGGTGTTGGATGTGGAACTGGTGATAATTGTAGAAATAATAATAATTGTAAAGGGGGTAGTAGTTGCGATAATAATAATTGTGGGCTTGGAAGTAATTGTGGAAAAAGTTGTGGTTGTAGTGGGGGATATGGATCCGATGACTGTTGCTGATTCAAAATAACTGTAGCATACAAAACATTTAATTTATCTACTTTATTTGAAATATTTTACTTTTAAGTAAATGTATTTTATTAATTCATAAATGTATATTTAATAAATTGTTATTTAAAAAATTTAAATTTGTTAAACTATACAACATTATTTATTTTTAAGTAGTACGACCTGATATAAATTCAATACTCACATGTTCTATATTAAAAATAAATGAATGTTAATCATAATTTTTGTTTTATATTTATGTTTATACAAAAATTAATTGACTGTGTTCCTAACATAAATTATTTTAGTATAATCGTTTTGTACGAATAAATTTTTATTTAAATATACAGTTAACACTTAGAAAAATGTGAGTTAGAAGTAATAAACAGTGATGTGATCATTTTTCAAAATTAAAACCAAACTCGGGGATGTATTTTTGAAACTCAAAATAAAAATAACAAAATTTACGAGTTGAACCATTGATTGAAAAACTTAGTTAAAATTTTTCAATATTTAATTTCTTTTCTTTAAAAATATTTTTATAATTAGAGTCAAGCCATTGCTATAAAATATTGTAAAACATGAAATTAGCGAACAGTGTCTTAGTAATTTAAAAATATTTCCTTGTTTATTTTACTTGGCTAATAAATAATAAATAAATTAATAATAGATAAATTGTCAAGTAAAAAAGTGAAAAAGTATTATTACATTCACGTTTTTATTTGGTACAACTTATCTATTTTCAATAGTCTTTAATGTACATTGCATATTTGAAAATATTTTATCGCCTGAAACTGTTTTTGTGGTAATATTTGTGTATTGTGTTCTTTAACTTTTTACTAGTAAGAGAATTCTTGAGAATAACATTTTTTCTAAGTTTAGGCACTTATATTACTTTGAAACNTTATTGTATGTGTTCTTTAACTTTTTACTAGTAAGAGAATTCTTGAGAATAACATTTTTTCTAAGTTTAGGCACTTATATTACTTTGAAACTTAAGAGCTTTTATCATATATTATTTATATTGTTCAGTTAATATAAACTATTTTTGACATATAACAAAGTTAAATATTATATCAAATGATAATTTACTAGAATAACTTAATATTCAATAAATGATTTTTAAAGTTTTTACAGACTACTTGCGAAAACAAAATTTGTTTTTATTCATTAAATAGAATTTACATTTACATTTTGATATTTAAGTTGATAAAAATATACCAAACTGAATCTTTAAAATTTTATAACTTAACTGCTGTGTAATCAATGTTAATGTTGAATGCTTAAAATTTATTATGAATTAAATCAATCCTACTTAAATTAACGTTCCAACTAATTTATTAAAAAATGTCAACAATAAAAAAAATGCCAGCGATTACCCGTATTTACAAATTTCGGTGATTCACTGTAACATATAGATAAGAAAAATATGTAAAAAACGAGTTGTATGTTTAAATTTACATTTTCTAATACAGTTTTGTCATATAAAACAAAAATGTGATGTTTTATTTGTGAAATTTGAGGCATTATTTTTTACTTTTATAGTTTGTAACATGTAGCTCAACAATATTTGTTGTGTTATCTATACTCTTTAAATTTAACTTGACGGAAAAATTGTTAGTCAATTTATGTTAGCTTATTGAATCTTACTCTGCTCTGTGATGTGTAAGTTCAATAACATGTATAATTTTGTATAATTTAGTAAGTGTTGATTTTGCAATAATATTCTATCTAGATTGTATACTATTTCTGTTAATACGGAATAGCGGACAGCTTGGTAAATGTAAATTTTGGTTAAAAGGCAAATGGAGTTGATTTTACACGTACAAATTTAGTAGTGGCATTGATTTTATATTTGTATATTATCTCGTGTTTGAATACTCCTACAATAGTTGTGCGTTTCTTGAAGAAAGCTTTCTATGTAAAGTTTGAACTCGTGACCTCAAGATCAAGGAATATTTTTGCTTTGTATTTGTTTATTAAAAGTATTATCTTCTTCATACCAATAACAATAAAATGTAATGTAAAAATGTATGTTCTTTAATATTGTTATTTGCTTCTTAACCATTGTGAAAACACATACTCTATATAGAAATTCAGAGATGTTAATCTATATAATATGAGTCATTTATTATTTTTTCAATAAGCTTATTGCTTTTATAAATTAATACACTCTAGTATTATGTAGTTTTGAGTTTATTTTGGTTATTTGCTTTTACATCTTATAGGAACTATTTTGAATCTACTTCCCACATAAATAATATAAAAACTTACACTGATTTAGATTCAAAAGTTATAAATTTAGTTATGTTAAGTAAAAACCACAAATATGTTTATGATACGAAATGAGCTTCCCGTTTAACTACAATGCATCATTGATTGCCATATCAAAAGTTTTCTTTATTAAATCAAGAATTGATTTTACTCTTTTCTAAAAAAAAGTACGAGTCCATTTAAAATAAAAGTTGAAGCAACAATAATTCTTCAAAATACTTACTATTACTTATGAATATTTTGGCAGCAAGTGATGTATCATTCTAATCTAGACCAAAAACATAGCCGAAGACGTGTTTTTTCTACAACGAATAACACAAAACACTTCCTTTTTCACGCATCCCTAGAGATTTTTTTCGATTTCCTGCTAAAATCTACTCTCTTAGTTGGAAAAATCTACATTTATTTTTTATTGCTACATTTAACTGCACTATTTATTTATGGTCCCCTAAGAGCAAACTATTTTAAAAATGAAATCGTTAAGTTGATAGCGTTAAGTTTTAACGTCTGATACAATTTTGATTCCATATTGTTTTTAAATGGTCAAAATTTTGTTAAAATCGTTATTTTCTTATATATATATATGTCGTAATGGATCATTTAAATAAAAATATTAATAATAAATCTTATAAAATTTTTTAAAAAAAGATAGTGAAATTAATATTTTCAAATTTTAATATTTTTTTAATTTTTTAAAAAAATATCTCAAGTAATAGTTTAAAATGAAATTTAATCACACAACCAAACAAACTAAAATACATAGTAAAATTATTTAAATATAAAAATTTTCGATTTTTGCCGAATAGTGATTAATTGTTTATTGAATAAAAGAAAATTATATATTCTCGTTATTAATCATCGAGTAATAAGTAATAGTTAACATCGAATACGTTTAAAATTAGGCATTGTGTTAAATCATAGACTTTTTAGAAATTCAGTAACCACAAAAGTGATTATTCAATTTATCAAATGTTCCTTTATTTATTGTATTTAAGTCGAAATCCTATTAAATATTACTAAATTGTTACCATTGTTTTTTGAATAATTTTTCAATTTGTTTGTTTTGCAAATTATTTATATATTTAGTGTATCAGCTGGGTCGAGCGCACATCGTCATTGTAACTTTGAGCACTAAAGTCATTTGTCAATTAATATTAATTTTCAGATTTTTTATATATCATTAAATTAATTAAGTACATAATTGTGTCAAAGTAGTATCTATTGTACAACTTTACCAAACTTATTTTGTAATTATCATTGGTAAATTATTAGTATAAATTTGTGATACTACTAAATCAATTTTTTTTTATTAATAGTTATAAGACCTTTCACTAAATTGTTTTAATTCATAAGTTAGTTCATTATGTTATCGGACCACTTCACTTCCCCGATTAGATCCTCTAAATTTATAGTTCTTGTGCTTTAATCGGACTATCCTAATAAAATCCATTATATACATCCTTTATATTCAAACAAACAATGACTTCAGGTGTCAGCATAAGTGGTAAATTCATCTGTGCCCCTTCCAATCATCATGAATGTGTTGAAAAAATGTTTTTAATAAATTATACGATACTACAAAACGATAAGCTATTTATAATATAAGATATTTAGACGAATTTTAGGTAAATGCACCAAGGTCAGACATTTTTTATTCATCATATTTGTTTACGTCATGTCTTTGACGTTTTGCGTGCGTTTATCCGTATCCCCTGAATTTTTTCCGTTAACATTTTAAGTACTCTAAAAGTTTCCATTCCTTTAAAGGTTTTTCAACTACGAAACATTAAGCTGTCGTACCAATCCATAAACTATAAATACAAATTGTTTCACTCATAATGTACATAAGCATCAAGATGAGTGCAGATCGTTGTTAAGGATTTGCAATTACCAAATGATAAATTATGTTTATACGTTTAACAGCACAAATAAAACTACTATTATGATTATTTATTTGAGTAATAAAAAATAAACATAATATCTGAAATGAATAATGAATAATTAAAACTTCGGATTCCCACTAAATAAAAACTCCCATGATAATTATTCATTTTATCTTAAATAATACTTTAAAATTGACTTTTCCAATTTAATTTTTTTAAAGAATGTAAATTTATTTTCCTTTCTTAAATAAAACCATTTATATTCATTGTATGTCATTACAGTAATGCCTATAGATAAAAATAGAAGTTTTAGGAGAATTAAGATTTTTAGGTATACATATGCTTGCAAATAATTCACAAATATGTATACAAAAAACCGAATGATTCTTACCACTATCAAAAAGTATAGTGTAATTATTTTTATTTAAAATTGTTATTCTAGTGTTTATTGTAATGAAATAATGCTTTATCATCGGCAATAATATTTAAATGTTTAATGTAAAATGCATAAAAACTATTCAAATTAAATTTATGTTAAACGAACTGTTCGATAGACATTTACTGTCATACCATACATTTATGTGTTGTGTTTTATGAGTTATAGTAAATTTAATAAATTTGTATTCAATGCAATTTCAACAATTTTATGATAACACACATTTTTAAGAGCGAATTCTACAGTTATTAAAAATTCCCATTTCGAGGTTAAAAAGTAAAATAACATATACAATGTATATGGTTTCTTTTTACTTTAAAAAAGTATCAACTCGATGTATTAATAATGAACTGATAAAACCTAAAAATGAATTTTATTATTGCAATATTTATATTAAAATACAATTTCAAAAATCAATTTTTAATTTAAAAACTACATTATATTGTTGGAATTAGAAAATTATTTTTTCACTAAAAAAATGGTCTTAAAAAAGGCTCTTAAATATAAATAATTAAAAAAATAAAATAAATAATTTAGAACCAATTTATTTTGGAAAAGTTTTTGATTTTTATTCATAAAAAATTGGAAAAAATACGAATATTTTGTTATGATAAAATAAAAATCTATAAAATGTGATATTTTAAGAAGATATTTTTTAAATAATGATTTATTCATAAAAGTTTACAAATTAAAATTCGATTTATTTTTAAACACATAGTAATTATCACGTTTATTGTAAGAAAAAATGATTTCTAAGAATACATTTTAGGGGTAACTTTCAAGAATTAATTAAAAACCTATTAATATGCATTTACTATTAAATGAAGTGATAAATAATAATTATTTTGACTGATCTATAACCAGTTTTTTAATACTACCTTTAGTGATATTAGCATTTAAATATATATAAATAGTGAGAAGCGGCTTAGTGTTTAGTGACGCTCAATTTTTATCATGACGCACAGATAAGAATATTTGTTAATTTAATTTAAACTTTTTCGCTTATAATAGTATATTTAATGATAATTAGTTCAACGCAATTTATACTGACTATTTGATAGTAAAAGATTTTGTTACTAAAGTTGTAGAATCAAAATTATTTAAATGAAAACTTGAAATAAATGTTTGCTACGATGTTAATCGAGAAATAAACTAATTTACAATTATGTCTCAGTGATGTAACTGCTGAAAAATATGGTGTCATATTATTCAAGACGATAAAATTACATGGTATTGATTATGTTTTTTTTTTATCATAACTCTTCAAAACACAATCTTAGTTATGCCATTGGTATAATAATATTTTACGGAATTTTTTATTTGTTATGATAGATTTTCAACTTTCACTGAATCAATAAATTAAATTAGGAATATACTCTTTATTTTATTATAGTCAACTAAATTTATAAGGATAATTCAGTATGAGCTCATTAAACAGAAAAATAATAATTTAATTTCAGTATTAAAACTATGAATAAAATAAATATTCTATTACTTAAATAATAGTACTTAAATAATAATACTTAAATTTTCAAAAGAAAACAATAGTAAAATCATATATTTTACCTGCAATCAAAGGCGTATTTTAAATATTTTGTCTAATTGGACTACAGTCTTATATTCAGTTTCGGACTTGGGGGAAACTTCCATACAGCATTGCTTTATCTCCGTCTTTCCCGACAAAACATTTTGGGGCTACACATGTCTTTATGAAAGCTTTAACTCACACATCCTCATACTAACTACACTATGGTTGTCAAATGTTTTTAAAGAATATTATTCAAGATTAACTTCTGCATCATAAAAGTATTTTGTTAATATAAAACGTATCGAAAATGGTGAGTCTATTTACTTTGAAAAACACTTATAAAGTGCAGGTTTATTATGTACGTGCAATGTATATATTGGGTAATAAAGTTGTTTAATCTTCTATATCACTTTCTTGAGGGATGGCATGTAATTTGTTCATAGATCGTTGTTGGCGTATTATAAATTACACACTAACACAATTTTCAACGTAAACTAAATGTCTAACGAAAGGAAATTTGTCATATCAATAAAATTAATATACTTAATAATGTCATTGTGTTTGTTCTACTTTCAAGTATTTGAAATATAAATTTTTAATTATTTTCAATAGAGCATAAAGAAACTGCATAAAAACGCATCATAGATGTACAATAGAAGCACACGATAAATGACGTATGCAAACGCCAATCAAAATTGTCCCTAACCTAACCTTGTGGTATTGTTTGTTGACTGACATGTGTGGTACTTTTTCTTTAGTTGCACATAAAAAAAGTTTTATCATACTTCCTATTTTATAATCAGTAATAAGTTTATTTTCACTCGATGCACACAATATAGAAAATATCTTTTTACTAGCAATATAGTTTGTTTTACAAACTACTAAAAATGTTTCTGTTGTCTTAAGGCGATTTAAACGCTTCAGATAAATATTTTAAGTTTCAAATTGATATCCAAGGACCATTTCTAAAATTGCACTACAAAAGTAATAACAATTTTTGAATTCGTAATATATATATTTTTGATAAATTATAGTATTAAAATAAACTCAAACATAGCTTTTAAATTTTCATTTTATTTGTATATTAGATTAGTAATTATCAACTCAAAACATTAACATTATTATAACTATTATTACATAGAATACAATGATTTTATGGAATTTTTCTTTTAAATAAATTATATAAAAGTTATAATAAAATAATAATGGTTTGTAACCAGGAATTTCTCTTTTAATTAGATCTCGTTGGACGGTATAAATTGAAAATCTCTGTATCTGTATCCTTCACAAGATGCTTCTGAAGACTTGCATGCGTGACATTTGCATGACGTCGCTTGCTGAAAAACGTACACCTCTGTTCCTGGTTCAACACCCAGTTCACAGTTTTTTAAGATATATTTAGTTAATTTACGGCCACCGTGTATGCAAACTGGATGGTGTGAACGTTTATAAGGAAATCGCCAATCAGATACCTTTGGACAAAAAAGTTCGGAAGTATTTTACAAAAAATTAGACTTTAAACATTAAAAAAAATTTATAATTTGTTATTAAACAAAATTTTTACTCTCGGATATTTTTTTACACAATTGTTTATACCTACTTCCCTGTTAACATTGTTTTTCAAAATAGCTATCTGGGTAGTGTTCAAGGTTAATATATTTTAGGCAAAATATACGCATTATGTAAAATAAAAGATAACAAAGATGACGTTTCAAAAAAATGAGTAGTTCACGCAATAATTACAATGTGTTTTAAAATGGTCGATTGCTAGTGCTTGATTATATACAAAGTTTTATATATTTAATTAATTTAAGATACTTTGAAGTTGCCAAAAAGGTTTCTTGTAAGTTGTATTCTAAGAACAAATTATGCTGAGATACAGTGACAGTATTTTATTGTACTGGATACTCATGGTAATAAAAATGTAGCCTGATTTTTTTGAAGTATTGAGCTTATATTCTGTACTACAATAACAATAACTAAGTGCTCCTTGGAGGTTTCATATTTATAATATATGATTGTTGTGTTAAAGCTTACTTCAGGTAGGTATACTATTGCAGCTCACGAATGAAATATGTTTACGTCCAATAATAAAACATATGATCTTTTTTTTAGAAAGATATTTTAAACATTATTACTAAATTGTTGTTCAAAAATAATCCGAAAAATTCTGTAAAATAAATTACCTAAAAGAGCATTTATTTTAAATATTATTTAAATATATATGTATATATATATATTTTTTTTTTTGTTCAATAAAATCAAAAGAATGATCACTTTTACTATAAATACCTGGATTTCAATTAAATGCGCAATATAATAACCAGAAAAGTCCACTTGAAAAAAATATTCCTGGAGATACAATAAATAAAACTGTTTTATGTTAAAACATAGCAAAAAGTATGAGTTATTTCTTATTATAACTCTTATTATCAGATATGTTTGTTTTATTTACTAATTCATAAAAAAATTTTCACAGGACATCTTGTTCAGTAATTAAATTCTTTTTTTTAAAAAATTGAATCTCCAAAAATAGTGGACTGGTTATTGTGCAATATATCTGCAATCACCTTAAATATACTATTTAGTACAAATATTAGATATATGTCTATTAATCTGAAATTTTTACCTCATTTGAATCGCATCGTCCCCAACATGACATAACTTCAATTTCGTCGGAACATGTCCTACCATTTATATCTGTATTGGATACTCGAAAAGAATATAGTTTTCTGTTACAATCTAATTCTTTTGTTTGAATTTCATCATACAACTCATTTTGCTCAACAGCAGAAGAAGACCATACGATTATTGATAACAATGTACACCATAAATAAATGCACATCATTTAATCACTGAGAAAATATAAAAACCTATAGTTTTAAAAATTAACAATAATAACAAATTATCTTGGTGAATAAAAAACAATGTTTTCAATTATATTTTAAATCTATACTTTTAGATATTCAAGCTTGATTGAAGATTCAAAAGCACATTTGAAATAAGTTTTTTATTTTTCAACAAAACACAGTAATGCCAAAGTTAAATTCATTATTAAAGCTGTAGATAAATAATTTAAGTGGGCCAAATTGATTAATGAGTGAACGTAATAATGAAGTATATGTAGTAGCGAGACAAGGGATAAAGGTTATGAGTTAACCCAACCACCTAATTCAGCTTTCAAGGAAATCCCGGTTACCTGGACTTCTTTTTAGAATTCTTGTTTTACGCGGTACTCGGTTTGTAAGCATTTTATTATGAATGTATTAATGTTTTCGAAGATGGCTGCATTTTTTAAAATATTTTCAGATGTATCAATATGGTCAGTTGAGTTTTAACATTTCGGATTCAACTGAACACGTGAATGAATCTGAAGATATTTTAAACAAAACATTTTATTATTCAGCTTTAGTTATTTTTTATTATCACTTTTGAGATCACCTACGCATGCCGGTTCCGGTGAACGATTCGGTTCTTTTGAGACTATCGTAATGTGAAGGCATACAACTAAAACTCATAAAGAGAGAAGTCTAGCTCAAATTTAACCTATTTGAATCTGTTAGCCCGAAAGGTTTAGTTGCACAATAGTTCCAAACCAGTACGCACAAATGATTAGAGTAAAGATGAATTCCCAAATTGGAAAATTACCCCATCCAGAATATTTCTATTATTAACTATTTATTATTAGTTTTTATTAATTTACAGAGGGTCAAAGCCTCCGGATCTATTATCAATTGATCATGAAAATAAGAGAATAACACAGCATGTAGTTACATCAGTAATATTGATTATAAATCTAGAAAATAATATCCGATATAGGTTATGAAAACCCTAAACAAAAACAGTAATTTTATTCTAATAAACCATGTTTTTTAATGACATGCATAACTCTTTCTTTTTTTTGATTTATATATTTAATTTAGATTTTCTAAAAAAACAATTTCTTAGTCTCACTTTATACTTAAAGTATATTTGATTGGCAACATACAAATAACGATACAATGTCCCCAATCAGTAGCCAAAAGACTATAAGTTTTAAAAACAACAGATATGAACAATTGGTAAATGACGGTAAAGAAAGATGAGCTAAGAGTCACTGGCAAATGTGAATTTTCTCACGGTTTCTATACACTTATTTTGAAATAGACTACTGCGTAGGAGGAACAATGCAAAACAAACATACCATTAAAAGACTATCGGTTCATCCGTTTGTTAAGCTAAGAAAAAGTTCGACGGCCATTACCAAGGTTTTTGGTCATTTCAAATGCTTCATAGTCCTCTGTCTGAGTCAAATATTAATGACCGACCCAGCTTAGATGTTAATGGGTTTAAAGACTACTCGTCAAAAGATTAAGAGTCCAGTTTATACTGGCACATATAATGGTAAATTGATAAAATTTTATTTTCATAATTATTTTCATTTAAAGATTTTTGATATCAAACAAATTGGTCCTAACGAAATTGCATCGTCAGCAACTGCAATTTTCATTAGACATGACTTAAACCTATTCATTACACAAATCCTCAGTTATATTTAGGTGTACAAGGTGATTTTTTTATCATAACTTATTCAATTATTCAAAAAATAACATTTGGATACGTTAAGTTACATATTATTCTATATTATTAGCTGTGTATTACTTTTTATGCTTATCCCTTATGCCTTGTAAGGGTATCAACTTTGTTCTTTTCAAATAGGAACATATAATTTCAATTTAATAAAATGTTTAAAATTTTATTTAAATAGTAATGGTATTTGAGTTTTTAACATAACTTTATTTGTTTGTTAGATATAAAACTTTAAAATCTCAAATTTTTAAAATAATATATATGATTTATTATACACGCAGCAATTATTGTCTATTATCACTTTATCAACAGATATGCTTTAAGTATGGAAAAAAGGCATATTGTTGTGAGTTAACATTTATAAATACACCAACTGATAATGCAGCAAACATAATTGTCGATAGTTAATTGAAAAAAAAACACAATTGTTAAACTAAAATCTTAAACATTTATTAAATTAAAAATACATGTTCCCGTTTTAAAAAATAAAGTTGATACTTTTACTAAGCATTATTTAATAATAATATGTAACTAAAGGTAGCAAAATCAATGTTTTTTTTTATACTGTATGTAATTAGTGGATTATTATAAAAAAATCACCCTGATTATGTTTATTATTTTTTAGATGCAAAACAGTTTTCAAATCCCGTTTAGGGAAGTTTATCACATATGTATAAAAAAATCATATAACAAAAAAAAAAAATCTATTGATTATGTTTAATAATCACAAATTAATTTGTCTTTTGAAAAGGGTATAACTGAGTAGTTATATCATTATAACTGATATAAGTTGAACAAAATTATAATAATTATTATCATATTTATGTTTAATAAGATAATTAGATTCAACTTGTAATTATATGCGTGAATAATAAAACATAAACAAAAATTTAATGTTTATTTTTTAATAAACAAATGACTGTAAATATATTTTTGTAGTCAATTATTTTTATTTGCTTTAATTCGTTTAATGGAAAATTTAGTTATAACCAGTTTTAGTGATTACCATCTCAATAGTAAACTGAGTTGTGTAAGTACGTAAAAAAAAAAAGAAAATCTCCAATATAATCTAATCCATAAAATGTAAAGTTGAATTGACACTAGATTATTTCCGCTATTCAAATCACGCAGTTTGATACTGTTTTTATGACCAATAATAAAATAGAAACTGTATAGGTATAAGGTATTGAATTTCTGGCTAACTGCAGGGGTTGTAGTAACTAGGCATCTGACGAGAGAAAATATGCGTGTAAATAAATTATATTACAGAAATAGATTACTGTACATAATATACATCATAACGAGAATAACAATGCATAAATTTGGGTTATAAACAATATGATAATAATACATGTCATGAAAATGTAAGTAAATGGAAATGCCAAGTAAAAATCGGAATTGCAATATATTATATTGAATGTTTGTTCCTGTAGTTTAAATTTCGGCAACAATCAACAGATAAATGATTATTTACTTTTTTTTAAATATATGAAAATTTAGCAATGTTAAAATTTATTTAAAGTAATTTAGTATTATTTTAATAATCGAAATGTTCTATTGATTGAATAACGAGGGGTATATACACAAATAATTATTTTTAAATATAATTTTTATACTAAATTTTGACAATAAAAATAATGTATACAATTATTATCAAAATGTAAAAGTTTGAGCACTTGTCGTAGAAGAAAATACGAAATAATAATAATTTGCTTATAAATTAGATTAAAAACGCTGAATGAATGAATGCAAATTAAATGAAAAATCAACTTTTTATCACAAATTTGGAAATTTAATTAGTATACGTGTTATTGCTTAGTAATTTATTTTTGGATTTGAAAGCAAAATAAATAACATTAAAAGTGTTTTAGCGTTAATGTATAATATAATAAAATGATATCTTAGACTGTCTTAGAAATTAACATCATAAATATTAAGTGATTATATATTTATATGATAATTCATTTGTATGATACAGATAAGCGATAGTATAAAAAAAATCTTGAAGTTATTTTAACTGATAATTTTCTGTTTTAGAACTTTAAAACATCTAACATTTATACTTAATTATAAGCCTATTTACTTTTTTGCGCATTAATACAATTATTATTTCTACATTGTAGAACGTTAACAAGTATACAGTTAAAATAAAGTTATATTGTAGAAAATAAAAAGTACAGTATTAGAATAATTTAGATAAAAACTAAACAAAAATTATAGTATTACCTTAATAACAGTTTAATTTAATTAAGAAACATTTGTGTAGTATTATTGTTATGTTGTATATTATACAAGTTGTCGCCTTTTAAAATGTCTAATATATTTTTTATTTGGCATAGTTATAAAGCGATTCGTTTATGCAATTCCGATACACCACGTACTGCCGATACGTTTGTATAAATTAATATGAAAAAAAAAAAGAATTAAAAAATGATTTGGTACGTATACATTAATCTCTGCGAAATAAATTATTTTAGAACCAAAGTAGAATAAATGTAACTACAGAAATCAAAACTAACCAATTCAACGTATAACACTTTCCATACATTTTTACTGTAGTTAGTCAACGTATACTTTTTTTTTAAATTTATATTCTTAGAATGTTATGATAAACATTATATTTCAGTAATCAGTAGTTAATATAAGAGTATTATTTCAAAATAACTTGTTAAAAGCTAAAAGTTTTTACGTGTTGTCTCTCATAAATCGTCTTACGCAGTTGGGAATATTTTAATGCACCAAAAGTAAATCTGATGTATTCCATAAATATTTATTAATGCATACCGATTTTACTTGAAATGATAATTACGGTAAGAAAATTTTTTTTGGTATTTTTTTGTGTCATATATTTTTTGATTTTACGATTATTGAATATTTTTTCAATTCATCACTTATACCTTTTAAGGGTGTTAACTTTATTTATTTTTTTAATGGCAATATTCATATTTAACAAGTTTAAAAAATAGTTTAATTAAAAAAATGACTGGTCGATACTAACTTTTGAACTAGTACTTTGGAAGTAATTAAAGTTTTATGAAAATAAAGTGGAAGACAAGCACGTCAGAGTAATACGTAATGATAAATATAAAATAATTCACACCTCACCTTAATTGTATATTTTGAAATAGTTATAACTTTCGAAATATATTTCTTAATTAGATCATTTTTTATTTTATAGTAAAATATGTAAGTTGTCATTAAAAATAATAACGTTGACGCTCTTATAACGTATAAGGGATGAATTAATAAAATGCTTAATAGTCAATAAATAAATTTATAAAATTAA